TGGTGGCGGGGCCGGGGGGAGCCCGTGGGGACAATGGCCGCCCATGTGGCGCTCCTGGGGTGTCGTCGCCGCCGCCGAATGGCCCTGTAACTGTCCACCAGGCTCCTGTCCCTCGCCCCATGGGCAGCATCTCGCCTTGGGGACTGGCTTCTCTCATCTCTTCCATGTCGGGAGGCCACCATGAAAGGAGCCCGAAAGTGTCTGGAGACCTCAGAGCGATGCTAAAACCCTTCGGGGCCCAGGAGCTCTCAGGCACCCTGTGTATCTCCCCCCACACATGAAACTTGAGGCCCACCTTGCACCAAGGTGGACCTGCCTCTGGGTGGGGGAAGGCTGAAGTACCTTTTGAGGATAGCGTGCTGCAAACACTACCTGCTGGCAGAACAACAGCCTTGCAACACAATAACCCGAGCCTTTTCTCCATGCCGGACATGGTTCGAGGGCTTTTGGATATTAGAGGGCTTTTGGATATTTGGAATGACGTGACAATGTTTGTTTGTAGGATGCTGGGAGGGGTAGGCTGAAGTTTATCCTCCAGAGATGGACATCCTCAACCTTTCAGCAATGTTTATGGCCATCATCCATGATTTTCTTACATGTTTCTTTACAGATGTCTCTTCTCATGACCCTGGCAAGAGAAGGACACTTTGATGCTAAGGGAGGAGAGGACAGACCCTAGTGCCCAACTAGGAGCTTGGGAATTTTGGGAGTGTTGGACTGATCTCTGATTGAGTTTAAGCCAAGTTGGGCTTCCTTCCCATCAGAAGTTAGAATGTTTGAATTTTGCTCTACTGGTGATTCGTTACATTGCAATTCCAGGGCATGCTGATACAAATCATCCATATGATGCCTGCTTGCGCAGGAAGAGGAAAGGCTGTCAAGCACCCAGGGCTTTCTCCTTCCTGCACTTGGACAAGCTGTTGCAAATGGGGACTTTTTCACTATTTTTTTTTTCAGTCATTCTTCCGGTTCTGACTTGGCAAAACCTCAGCAACTCCTCTGCTCCTCAGTTGTGATTTGCTGGAGAAAAGAAACCTGGGATTTGCTTTAGAAAATTACCAGTGGTGGGAGAGTGCAAATTTAACGAGCGTTTGCAATGTTGCTAACTTTTAACTTTGCAAAGATGGTTTGGATAATAAAGTAACTTGTGTATTTTATTGTGTGCAAACCTCTTAATGTTGCTCGACAAACTGAAAGAAATATCCAGCTGAAGGCCATAGTTGAAGGCCAAGAACAGCTATGGAAGGAGAGGTACCAGATGGAGCAGTGGTGGAACCACTGCTACAAAGCTTTGTGTTTACAGAGCCTATGCTTGGTAAGCAGAGAAATCAGTGAGGATTCTCGTGATGATTCAAGGGCTTAAAAATCTGCTTCAAACTGAAGCAAACCTGCTTTAAACTGAAACGCCAAATAAATCTCATTCCAAAAAGTTCCATTTACCTCATGGAAAAGGAAGGAGCTCTCACGTGCCCTGCAGCTCCATGGGCTGGCTTCACCTCCGGCCCTTGGGCATGGGAATGTTGCAGCCCTCCTGCAGCAAGAGGCCAAATGCCTGGGGTTTTTTGAACAGCAGGGCAATTCCACACAATTAACATCAAAATTGAGGACAATTTTCTCCTTTCAGCAAGAGTTGAGCATCTCGCTCCTGTTTTTCTCAGCAACTGGGGCCTTTTTTTGGTCTTACACTGACTGCTACACCCTGTTACAACAAAACTGGGTGTGTTTTTAAAAATGAGTCAGCCCTTCTGAGATAATGCCGCCTTGGCTGACCTCAGGCTGCTGAATTTGAATTACCCACTCCTAACAGAAAATGCACTAAACAGTTAACAGTCTCATTGACAGCCTTATGATTTGGTATTAGGAAATGAAAGAAATTGCTATGATTTCACAGCAGATAAGGCTATATCTGCATTCTCTCCTCTTTAAGTGCTTCCCTTGCAGTTTTTTGGCTTCTTCCCCTTACTGGTGTCTAGCTGAAGGCCTAGGGCCTCCCAGCCACAGGAGTGGAAGGCAGAGCAACCCTCTGGCCACTTACAGGTTGGTACAACCCAGTTTGAGCAGGGGTTTCCAGCCTGCATTACTACAGCGATGGTAAAAAGCAGCATGTGCAAAAGTCAGTTAATCTGAAAAGACACTTAATAGATCCTAAAGTCACTCAATAGGTGCAACAAAGCTTTGCAGGGGGGGAAAAAAATCTTAAATGGCTGAAAGAACATTCATAGGTTGTGAGGTCTTATACTCCTCCAAGAATTTCAGGAGAAGTTCTTGGATCTGGCAGGCAGAATACCTGGAAACCCAAGTTTGGAGGGGAGGGAGGCAGGGGGGAGGTAGGAACAGGAAGCGAAAACATTCTTCACAGCTACCTAACAGCCCAGCTTCAAATATTTAAACTTGGCTCGAGGCCTAAGAGGTTGATGACAAGTATCAGGAGCCTCAAAGAGTGACAGGGAAAGGGGACTGGTGAGAAGGCCACACCAAACACATTCTCTAGGAAGGGGGTGAAATGCGACTCTCTGGCATGCAGAAGAACGGGGAGAGCAGCACGAACAGACCCCTTGACTGACGTTGGCGGAGGCGCTGCCTGTTTGCCAAAACATCTTGAGCGAGTCGCCGTGCTCGGCAGCCAACCGGTCCAGCCCAGCCCCGGCACGTAGCGATAGCGAAGGAGGACACGGGGCAGGAAACAGCGAGGCCGAGAGGCTTTTAGCTGCTCTGCAGGGCTGCTGCCAGGACTGCAGTGGGCTAATACCCGCATTGTTCCTTTTCTTGCTGGCGTAGCTGTTTTTTCCCCCTGGAAAAGCCTCAGTGCATTTCTGCTGGCAGAGATGTGTCTATACGGGGAATGCTGCTTTGATTTCTTGCTAGCACAGCTGAGGGTTCATCCCTTGGTGCTTCCCACAGCCACAAACACGGTGTCTGGAGTCCTGCCTGGGGCAGGGTGACATCCCCGCTTGGCACGAGCCCTTTTTTTGGTGGCAGGGCTGACATTGGAACCAAATCAGGCATCACAACCCGCTCCCTGCAACATGTGGAACCACAAGCTAGGGAGGAAGGTGTCGAAGCAAAGAAATTGTCCCTGCAGAGGAACTGTCCCTCGTCGAGTGTCTCAAGCTTGGCTGAATCCGGATGAAGGAAGTGCCATGTCAAGCCAGATTTTCAAAGGCAGTGTAATGAGTTCATGCTATCCACGACTCTCTATACCTTGAGCATAAACATCCTGCACTAATTAGAGAAGTAGATTTAACTGAAAGATTAGTGTCCCAAATCGAGCTGCTTCTGCTGCAAAGTAGTCGCTGAAAACTTCCTGTTTTCCCACAGAACTGCAGTGGAAGTGAAGAAACAGTCGTGAGGGTTGTGTAATCTTCAGTTTAAAGCTTGATTACTCAGCCCTAGAAGGGAGCAGGGTGGAGCAGGCTGTAGATTTTGCCACAACTGTGTCCAGCCCAGCAGCATTCGGCCATCAAGGACCTTGAATTCACTTCAGAGGCATAGGCAAATAAATGAGGTGAGAAACTGAGGCTGTAAACAGAAAACAACCAACTGAAGTGTTTTTAATTATGAAAGCAGTGCCCAATGATAAGACTTAAAAGTGTTAGGCTTTCCTTCCAGAATGCTGGGTTTCTGGTCTCCGCGATGCGGTGGGTTTCTGGTCTCCTCGATGCGGTACTGGGCTTGGGTCAGTGCTCCTTGTGGGAGGAGTGACTCGTAATCAGAATGTGCAACCACTCCTTGTTTCCAGTGAAATAGTTACTGGCAGCAACAAGGTCCCTCAGAGAGAACCCGCAGAACCTGCAGGACAGGGCGAGAAGACAGCAGGTGAATTCGGGGTGAGCTCAGTTCCGGGAAGGCAACCAGTTCTAATGGCAGCAGGCTGGGAGCTGAGCATCGATGCTCCGGGGCACAATACAAGGATTGTAAAATGCCCGTGATCCAAGTACCGCTTAGGGCCAGGCGGGACAGAAGCATAAGGAAAGGAGTCGGAAGTCTGAATTGTGGCTCCCCCACCCTTTGAGTGTTGCAAACAGTGGCTGTGCCCGGAAGCCACAATCAAAGGTAATACACGGCTCCCATATAAGGAGCTGCTGAAATGGTATTTTTCAGTCTGGGAAAGAAAGAACCTGCCCTGCCACCACCGGATGGAGACCACTGGCTCTCTTGTACCGTAAGAACAAAGAGGGAAGTAAATGGAGCTTGCACAAACCAGGTTCAAAATAAACAAGCTGATTCTATGCCTAATTCAGCCGGTTACGAGGGCTCAGGGGTGCTCTATGATTAGACGGGCTTAATGTGGGACTGGGCAAACACGAGGAGATCTGCTTCAGGCCATCACCAATACAAAACACGACAAACACAGGAGATAACCACCTCTACCCGCTTTCCCGCTCTGTTTTGTCACCAGCCATGGCACGCGGGGTCACAGTCTCCATGAGGCATCCAGTGAGAGGCCGAAGAGCTGGGCGGACCTTGGACCTTGCATCAGGACAGCTCTTCTTCCCCAAGCAGTTCGCAACTGCCGTCAGAACAGCACGACACGAACTCCAACCCGCCCCTCCGCCTCCCTCATCACTTATTAATCTAGTGTCTGTGCCGTCCAGGCTGCTCTCTGCTCTCCAAAGCAGGAGGCTGGGAGCTGATTCTTGGCCCCGGGCCAGCGTTATCTTTCCTAGGCAGGCCAGCCTCAAGCAAGGCCAAGTGAAGAGGCTGCCAAAGGTATTCTGGCTCTACGCCGCTCTCATGTGGGAGCAAGCCCAGCGCCTCGGGCATAGGATCGAGTCATCTGCAAACAGTGTTTCCCCCTCGAGTTGTTTTTTCCTTTGCGCTTGGATCTCAGCAGGATTACAGGCCACACTTGCGTGCTTCAAGGTCTTGGAGTGCTCTCACGAGCCGCTGAAGGCTCGTGGTGGCTGTGCCCTACCCGGCTATCCCAGATTGATCAAGCAGTAGCCATACAGAAAGTACACAACTCTTTTATTATTATTATTATTCGGAGGCTCAGCACTGCTTTCCCTGGGGTAGCTTTCCAAACATTCGCATGCAACTTTTAAAACATCAAGTGCACTTCTAGAATTTGAAAAGTGCACCCTCACAGGCAAAACTTGCAAGGACATTGGAATTCTACCACCCGAGTGAGCAGTTGCGCCCCCCCCACCCCCCGCCGCCGCTGAAAAAGCAGGCGCAAGCCTGGAAAACCAAGCGGGAAGCAGAGATTCCTCTTGCGCGTTCAGCCACGGGCCAGCTGGGTCGTGGCGGAAAAGCCTTGGAGGGCTCAGCAAAGCGTTGGCCTAATCAAGCACTTCCTTGGGGACTTTCTGAAGGAGGAACTCGATGTCATCCTGGATCTTGATGGTTTCAAAATGCCTGCTGTAGCGCTTGAAGGGCACGCCGTCGGGGCCGATGAGGAACTTCTCGAAGTTCCAGGAGATGTCATTCCGGCACACGGGCGACCAGATGATATACTGTGGGTTGGTCATCAGCGAGGTGGGGTCGTCATGTGGGTAGGGCAGCGCCTCTTTGAGGAAGGTGAAGAGCGGGTGGGCGTCCTTGCCGTTCACGTCGCACTTCTCAAACAGGGTGAAGTTGGGCTTGTAGCCATTGCCGGGGCGGACGTGTTCCAGCGAGCGGAGGATCTCCTCGTTTGTGGCATTCTCCTAGGAGACGAAAACAAACAAATCGCACACACACACACAAAAAAAAAACCCCACAACAACAACAACAGAAACAAAACAAAATAACAGGGCAACAAAGCAGAAGAGACGAGGAGGAAGATGATGCATGAGGCTCCGGAGTGGCTCTGCTCCGCGCCCCAGAGCGGGAAGGGCCTCGCGGGGCCCTCCTGCCTCCCCCCAGCCGGAGCCGCGTTCTGGAGCCGCCCGAGGTGCCTGGGGGGGTCCCCGCCGTCCCGCGGTACCTGGTGCCCGAACTGGTTGCAGGGAAAGCCGAGCACCACGAGCCCGCGCGGGCCGTAGCGCCGCTGCAGCTCGTTGAACTGCGCGAAGTCGCGGGCCGTGGTGCCTCAGAGCGACTTTTCCCAAGGGGCTGTGGCCCGGCCTCTCTCCGCCCCTTTGTGCGGAACACACTCTTTTTTTTTGTTTTGTTTTGTTTTGTTTTAATTTATTTTTTATTTATGTTCTTCTATTTTTTCTTTTCCCCCCCTTTTTTTTTCTTTTTCTTCGCTCAGTTTTCATTTGCTGCTCTGTGCTTTGCCTCCCCCCTTTCTCCCTTTCCCCCTTCTCTCCCCGGCTGTGCCCAGGCCTGGAGGCCACTCCGAGGTTGCAGCCGCAGTGCTGGTGGGAACCTCCTGCTCCCTGGGAGCCGGCGCGGTTCATGCACACCACAACTGGCACCAGGGCCGGGCACTCCAGCGTGGAGCATTTCATCAGTTGACTTGAGTTTAATGTGGCCACTCTGGCATCACAGCCTTTTCCAAGCCTCCGTCAAAAGGCTTGATGTTAACGAAAACCGCAGAATTGGGGTGTTTATCCGTAGACCTATAGATTTATGACACGAGTGTCAGCAGTTCTCCTCAATGCTATGGAAAACGCTGCAAAATCTGAAGCTGCCCCCCGAGGCAAAGCCTTTGCGCTCACAGGGCAACGCGCAAGTGGGAGAGAGGCAAAAGCAGCGCAAGGGGTTGCAGCCCTCCCAGCAGCCCCTTCCCCCAAGGGCCTGACTGCTGAGCAAGAGCAGGTTATAAAAGAAATGGCAAATATCTCTCTATGCGTAAGGGGAAATCCTTGCTGAGGCTTTTCATTTTCGCAAGAGCTCCCTCCTCACAACAGTTTCAAGGTTGGACAGCTGCTTATCAGAGTTGGCCGGGAGCCCAGGCAGCCCAAACCCCCAGCGGGGCAACCGCGCACAGGGCTCTGGCGCGCAGGGCCCTCCCCCTCACTTTCATTTTACTGCCGCTTCTTAACTTTTCTGTGCGACATTGGAGCCTCTTCCTAATACTGGCTGGCACTGAAAGGTCTCTCCTCCCAGTACCAGCACCTGCCTTGGCTCCCCAAGGTGACTGCAGAATCTAGTGGTGTTGCTCTTGGCACCCGCAGCTGCAGCTAGAAAGTGGAATAGGTCCTGCTTTCAGGGAGCCTTAGGACCTTTGCCTGATTATCTTGCATCTCCAGACATTTCCAAAAAAGTGTGTTTTCTCTTCCCAACATATTACAGCATTGATACCAGACGTCACGGCAACTGTCCTGGGGTCAGGGACTCCCAAGCAAGCCTCAGAAAAACGTCTGATCCAATGAACAGAGCCACGCAGCGCACGCATGTCTGTGAGCAACCCGATGGCTGGTGCCTAAGCAGCTTCTCTGCCTGCCCCACGGGCACTGCAAGCTCTTGTGCATTGACAAAGAGGAACTTTTCTTCAGGGTGACCCCCAGGGCAACGTGAGCAGCTTCTCTTTTAGCTGGCGCTGCTGCTGATTCTGCTGCTCACTCCATGTCATCTTTGGGCCTCAGTCTGCACCTGGGAATTGCATCAGAGCCGGGAGTTTACCTCTGGAGCCCTGATTTTTTTTTTTTTTTCTTCAGAACAGAGTAGGTTAAACCTTTCCCTTCTGTAACAAGAAGGTTTTGAAGGAACCTGACCGGATTAGCCAAACTCTTTTGGGGGCTTGAAGCTACACCTTGTGCCTAGATGGGTTTTTTAGAACCAGACGAACTTAGATGCAGGGGGATGTCAAGAGCTCCCTTGAAGTAACACCCTGGGGTTTGAGTTCCTTTTCCTCTGGAATAAACAGAGCCTGCGGAGGTAAAAGATGGGATCTGAATGCAAAGGGAGCCATGCTGCCCCCTTCAAAAGCAAGATCAAGTTGTGCAAGGCCGATTACTTAATGCCACACAGGCATCATAAAGCGGCTTCTGCTCCAACACCAGTTGTCCCGGAGACAAGGAGAGGGAGCCGAAGCCCATGGCCACAAGCGGAGACACCAACTTAGCAGCAGGTCTGAATGGGGAGAAAGGCAGGGAGGGTCTGGAGAGCTCATGGCAGCTGCTGGCAAAGAGGGCGGAGACTGCAGCAATAGTTCTATAGATTAAAGGGAGCTTAAATTAAAATGGAGAGAGCAAATGAATCGCTTCTGATTAGAAGAGCAGATGGACACACGCCCCATGCTTTGAGCCAGAGGAGCGCACAGACCTGGTTCAATCCCCGTGACCAAAAAGCTGCTTTGTAACCGCAACTGTAGTCACCTGCTGCTGTCTCCGCAAGACCAAGAAGTTCATGTTTTTTTCTTAACTCCAAAAATATGAGAATAGGGATGAGTAAGCTCGTTAAAAATACCGAGGAAAAGAAATCTATAGAGCAACAGGCAGCACTTCCTGTTGGAAAACAGGCCGGACACAAAGAGGAAGAGGAGGAAGGGTGGGGCTGCTGCCAGCACTTTGCTGCGCTGGCGGGACGCTTAACCCCACTGTGGCCACAGCTGCAGAGGGGGCCGGGAAGGCGCAGGAAACGGCACATGCCTCTGCCCGGGGCTGTTGCTCCTCTTCTGTAGGGAGGAGGAGGAACGTTGTCCAAAGAAGGCGCCCCTCCACGCCCAGAGTGACAAATACGTCCCGCACACAGCTGGGACGCAGCCAGCTGCCCCCTCGCTGCTTGTCATCGAATCGGGGACTTCTTCACGCCCAGTTTTTTTAGCAGCGACTCTCAGCTCCACACCACAACCGCAGAGGCCCCAACGCTTGCTTCACATCCCTCCTGAGCCCCAAGGAGAGGGCTCCCCACGCCGCGGTGCTTGAGGCATCGCTCATGAAGGTGGCGGGTTATAGGAACGGCACCATCCACAACGTGCTGCTCCTGCCAGAGTCTTAACATCCCCTTCTTCCTCCACTCCTCTCCTCCCCCTCATTCCCGTTCAAGATGGCAAATTCATCTCGGCTCTTGGAGAAGCTGCTTCGGTCTGATTATGGCCTTTGCCTACATGGTCCATGAGGATACAGCCATGGGCAAGAGGCTTCTGGAGACACTTTGCCACTTACCCCAGGCTGAGGGATTCCCGGGCTGCAGCATTTGGAAACTACTGCAGCACCAGGCGGGAGTCGCTTCCTGGGAAAGCCACAAAACCCTCCAAAAACCCCTTGCCAACTATCAGGTGACAGCACCATCAAAAATGGTCTTGTTGCTCCAGTTGGTCAGATGCTGGACCAAAAACCCCAGAGTGAGGAATACAGACACCAGGATACAGGGAGCTTAGAAAACTGCCTTTATTCTATTAGTTGTTGGAAAAATGAGAATACAGAAAGAGTCTAGTTTGGCTGCAGAACAGCAAGAAGTTCACAGGTTAGGAGTCTGATCACTACATGGTAACCAAACTTACACAAAAAGTTGCATTTTCTTTCTTTCTTTCTTTTTTTTTTTCAGTTGTGAAATTGGGTCCAGCATGAATTTAAGGCAACTGAACAGTTCAGAAGCTTTGAGTGGGAGCGGGCTGACTTTCCTCATCCCTAGGGCACGTCATGGAAAAAAAACTCCTGGGTATGAGACCACTCAAGTCATTCCAAATGGGGTCACTCTTACAAATGAGCAGGGGAAAAGGATGAGCTGCTTTCCATCGGACTTTATTTTCAAATACAGTTTCTTAAAAAACCCAGAACACCTTAATGCAGAGGTTACAAGTAACAGTATTAGGAAATCCAATTATACAAAAAATACTACATCTAAGCTGGGGTAAATAGATTTATTTTTGGTAACATACATTTAAACTGGCACTAATTACACAGTAACTAAAAGGTAACTAACATGAAACCACAGAACCCTCACTTTTCCTTAGCTGAATGGGACTTGGTCAGTTCAGAGTGATCACATTTCCAAACTAATGTTTTACACCACAGAGCCATGGAAATCAAAACTTTCTAAATGTGATAGCACTGAAGCTACACTCGATTCCACATACAGCCATTTAACGGTTGTACTCAATTAGAATAGGACATTAGTTATAAAGTAGCTACAGACCAATCCTCTGTGTTGCCAGCTTTGTTTTTCTCTTTCTAGAGAGGAGAAAGAAGATAAAGAATCGTCTTCAGTTAGCGCCTGGCATATCCTGTGAGCGCAGAAAAGGTTTGTTAGAGGAATGTTGAGGTTAACCTTGGGTGCACAGATGAAATTTGATGCAGATTGTTATAAAAATCATGGTTGGCTTCTAAATACTGGTAGCAAGATGACTCGATTTTTAAATCTTTTAAGTAAATTATAGATAATGAAAAAGGCCAGTAATCATACACTAAGATTAATAAACAGCACTTCAAAATTACTCAAGTGCAGGGTGCTCCTTTGGCCATCTTCCTCTGGCCACGCTTTACAAGAGAAGGCACCCGGACTTTTTCTTGCCACGCCGGGCTTGCAAAGCAGCTCTAGTGGCCATTTCAAACACCTCCCTCACACCGTCTTTGGTCTTTGCCGAGCACTCCATATACCCAAAAGCACCAATGCGGTTTGCCATGTCTCTGCCCTCTTCAGGTTTGACAGGCTCCTGCAACAACACAAAAGCAAGTGCGGGTAAGAACACGACCAAAATGCACCAAACACGCTTGTATTTTCACCCCCATCAGCTTCTTAATCAATGCAAACAAATCCCCGGATTAAATGAACACCAACAGACTACTGTATTATCAACGGGTGTGCTGTGATCAATCTTTTAAAATAACCAAAGGGAAATTTAAAAGCAGATTTGCCCAGATTTGCAGATGTGGTATGTTTTATTGCATCTCAGCTGGCTTTACACAGCCTGTGTGTTCACTTGCCAATGCTTGGGGGTCATTCAGACTTTACCTCCATCTTCAAAAGACCCAGGACCTTCTGAAATTCTGCCTTGCTTGCATGTGACAGTAAGCACTTATGCAACTCTTTGCCATAAGAGTTAACAAAAGCCTGTGAACAATTCTCCAAATTGGCTCATCAGTCTTTGTCTAAAAATAAACATTATGCAACACGAACAAAAAATTCCAGGAGGGAGCAGATTATTTGCTGCCTTATACCCAAGCCAGGGGCTTTCAGACATGATCTGAAACTGAAACTAAGCTCCAGGGCCAGGAAAGAGCGACAGCCTCTGTGGTTATTACTTCAAAACATCCACCAGTGAAGCTGTTTCCTTATATATCTTCAACATAGAAAATGACAGAACCTCAACCGTGCATCTACTTGATGTATCAGTATCTCCAAATTACTTGATTTCCACCTCATGAATCCAGTTCCTCAGTTTGGAGCAGCTAATTGTCAGGAACCTAAACAGCTCTTAATAGAGCAATTTTCATCACTGAAAATGCCTTTTAAAATACCCAATAGGAGAAACAAAGTTCTCAAAGGTGATGCACACTTGCTGCTTCCTCTCACAGAAGCATCTCCAGTTTCTATTCTATTTTTTTTTCCTGCAAGCCTTAGGAAGCTGCAAACGCCCGTTCAGCGCTGGGGCAGCGCTGCAGCGCGCCGCCTCCCCACTGCAAGGCCACGGGAAGGGAACCTGCCTGCTTCATTTTGGCCAGCTCTCGTCTTGTGTGCTCGTCATTCCTCAGGTCCTTCTTGTTTCCTACCAAGATGATAGGCACGTTGGGGCAGAAATGCTTCACCTCTGGGGTATACTTCTCTGGGATGTTTTCTAGAAGAAAAAAAAAAAAAAAAAAAAAAACCACATATACATAAAAGTAGCACTGCGGCTAGTTGTCCTTTAAGGTTTGGGTCTGTTGCCTGATAATCTATATGCTGGTTTTTGGTTGCACAGAAGATGACGTTTTCTAAGACAGTTGTGGATTTGCTGTTTGTCTTTATCTACAGCAAATTAATTTGCACTCATACACAAGAATCTTTTGTCTCCTAACTTAACTTTCCTATGTGTTCTTTTAATTGGAGCTTGGAGTGTAAGGCTGGAGGTCTCTGCAAGCAGAGCCATGATCAATTCTGTACAGCAGTGTTGCACAACCAAAACCATGCAGGCTCTGCTTCCAGAAACTGAGACACTGGGATGCACAGCTGCAGCCACTGCAACATCTACAGGAACATTTTGTCTGCTCATTTGTCTACTCAAGCTTTCTACAAACTGTGGTACAAACAGTATTTTTGACCACCCGGGCAGATATACTCAAGTCCAATCTTCACATGAGATGCATTTTTGTGCTTCACACCTCCTTTTTGCTTCATTCTTGGTTTCTTCTTGAGACCCAACCCCAGGGGGCAGGAGCAGAGGTGTGGAAGAAAAGCTGCTTTGAGAACAGTTTGCCGTGATCATGATGATCTCTGCAGCAGGAAACTCTAGAGGATTCAATGGCTTAATGGATGTGGGAAATAATTTGTATTTCCTTGTTGAGCACCACTTAAACAGACTTGACGCTCTGCATTTATACACAGCACAGAGGGACCTCTCAGTGCTCCCTGGCAGGGACCTGCCTCTCTGCCCAAGGTATGGATGTAACTTTTGACCAGTTACAGATTCCAGCCAGTTGTCATAGCCAAAGTCCTTGTCCAAGTTACAGCTGGTCTCACACACACATGTGCATCTACCCACTCTTGCTCATGCCCCGAGACACTAACCATGTAAAGATTTTTCTCATCATCATCTGCATTTCAATAAAAAACTATAAAAACAGCAAATTTGGAACAAAATCACCATTGAGAAGCAGGTAACTGAATTTTTGAAGTAATTCCTCCATTTTTTTTTAAGAAAATCCTACCCCAAAGCAGTTATTTAGGAGACTACACTGGAGAGGTGATCACTATTTTAACAGGAAAGAAATCAAAGTTCCAGAGATGTTATCTGTCTCAGAAATAAAAGCACCTCTACTTCCTGCTCTTTATCTGCTTCACAGAAATACTTTGCAGAATCAAACACACACGTATCTGCATCAGATTTTTAAATCTATTGCTTAAAATTTCAATGCTGGACACCATACAGAAAAGATGCACATCCAGTGCAGGAGTAGGC